TCCCCTGCATCGGCAGGCGGACTCTCAACCACTGTGCCACCAGGGAAGCCCCAAAAACATTTTAAATGGAGTAATTTTTCACATGCGTAAAGGTCTTCCTCTATGCATTGCAAGCCTCAGAACAAAATACTAGTAGCAACTATTCTACTCCTTACATTTAAGAACCAGTCCTTTAATTTCATATTTAGTAAACAATTCAACAAATAAATAACAATTCAGCTTACCAGATCTCCACTCTCAGGTACTGCAAAATTGAGAAAAGAAATTCAAATGAATAAAAAGTAAACAATGTTTACAATAAAACAACCATAAACTTCAAAGTAAAACACTATTTACCTTCAGGAGGGGCAAAAAAATTAAAGAAAGAGTCATTAGAAACTGTTTTGGTCACAGTACGAACTGTCCCACGTCCCTTGTGTTTCTGCTTCTTCTTAATGGTTTTCAAAGTGACATTCTTCCCTTTTTTCCAATCTATCTGGCACCTTCCAAAACAAAGGGGAGAGATGGTCTATCACAATTAACACATTATTTTCAATTGCTAGGAAAGCTGAGATTTTTCTAATTAAATTTCTATTTAATTTCAAATTTAGAGGGGAAATTTGTGCTGCTTTTTGTAGCAGTACAAAGAGAAAATTTTTATTTCTAAACAAACTTTTTCAATAAATATATTTACAATTACCACAAACTCACAATATAATAAATTTAAATGTACACTCCTTTGGAAAAATATCTGTAATAGTCTATGGAGAATTCTAGGAAAATGAATAAGCCCTTCTCAGAAAACGTTTTACTGAAAGGTTTGGAGATAAAAATGTATGTATGTACTAAGCAGACACACTAGAAGATACCAAATATCACAAATCATAAGTAAAGCAAAAACAGATATAACACTCTGTTAAAGTAATAAAATTAAACTTACCCTGTACAACCCATAATTTCTGGTCCATCAAAAGAAAAAGGATCAGAATCATCTGGTTCTGACCTCATCCTATATGTCTTTGTCAACACTTCATTTGTGAAATATTCATTGGGTTCAAAGAGAAATTCTAAGACAAAACTCTTAAAAAAAAAAGAAAAAGCATAAAAAGTAATTAAATTCCTACATGATAAATTTCAATGCTTCAGTAAATAAAGCTTAATCTATGATTTTTATAAACATAAAATCTTAAATGACAAAGTCCTACTCTGGGAAAGAAAGGGTCAGATAAATCCCGAAGTATCTTAAAAGCAAAATGTGGCACAAAATAAACTGAAGAAAACTTAGCTCAGCTAACACTACTATTTAGTGACATGTTTATGACATAGGTTAGGTACAGCTGAATAAACTGACCAACCCCCCCCCCAGCCCACCCATCTCCACAGAGAGGGCTTTAAACCTTAGACTAGAACCTAGCTTGACAGAGAAAAAGCCTAACCTTATCACATGTAATATAAGAACTAATAGCCTTTAGAGTCTTTGCCCATGCTTTACATAATATTGATGGAGAGAAGCCGTTGGCTGATCTTTCATAGTGGGGAAGTGGGAGCCCTCTAACATTTTTGTTTTATTTAATTCCCAGACACATGTCTTTTAATACAGAATAAGCTTTTTCTTATTCATGTTCCTCTGCTATTATTTTTACATACATTTTTAATCTAGGATCAAAAATTGACTATATTTAAAAATAGTTTACAGAGGGAGGAAAAGGAATAAATACTGCATCACAACTGTTAACGTCCAAACATTTATTTCCCACCATCAATTAAGTATCAGTTTTAATTTCTTCCCACTCCCATGTCTAACCCTTGAATGTCACCTTTCTTTAGAAAGTTCCATTTATCTACTTGTAAACAGCTAATGCTACAAAATTGAAAATATTTCAAAATTTTTACCATAGGCTGACCAGCATCTGAGAACTTCACTTTAATATCTTTCAAGTGCTTCAGAATAGGTTCATCATGTTCCTTCAAATTAAAAAAAAATTAAAATGAGTATCTGAATGGCATTAAGACTAGTGTTCTGTTATTAGACAGTAAGCACTTAACTGACAGACATTTTATTCAGTTTTATGTACGATTATGAACCATAAAGACTTAATTCTCCAGGTTATGCCTTATACTGAAGCTAGTTTACTTAGTTCTACCTTCTCTCACCATTGGCTGAAAAAAAGGTGACTAAATAGAGAACTACATCACTATATAGACTGAATGGGCTGAAAAGTTCAAAATCAAGTCTAAATAATTCATGTTTGCTTTAAAAATGTTTCCAGATCTGGACTTCCCTGGCGGTCCAGTGGCTAAGACTCTGCGCTTCCACTGGAGGGGGCACGGGTTTGATCCCTGGTCAGGGAACTAAAGATGCATATACCACACATGTCATGTGGTGCAGCCAAAAATATTAAAAAAAAAAAAAAAACTAGTTTCCCCGATCATTAATTGCTGCCTTTTCCAGCTGCTTGTTCCTTTTCTACTTTGCTAAAAAATAGAAATGCAGTAAGCAGTCATTGTTCAGAGACAGTTTCTTTTTCTTGACATTAACGTCCAACAATCACAATACAAGGTAACAAGTACCACAATGCAGATGATAGCGGCTCAAGAAATGATTCAGATTAGGAGAGGCAAAGTTTCCCAGAGAAGGTGACATCTGTGTTAGTTTCCCAGGGAAAATGACAATTGTTAAAACAGGTAAATATTTTTACAGTATTCTTTTAAAATACAAATGTCCCTTGGAGTAGTTGTTTCAGACTGAAAAGGTCTCTGGGGTAGGACAACTGAAACTCCCCCATCCTACCACCACACTCCACATCTAAAAACAGAAGGCACAGGGATATACGAGAAAGCATCATACAGTGAGATGAACAATTACCAAAGGGACTATTTCATTATCTAATTTTTGAAAACAAATTATAATTTATTTGATTACATTAATCAAAGCTGCAATTTCCCTTCTACCAATAACAGCTCTTTCAAAACAAAGCAATCATGGGAATTCCTTGCGGGCCAGTGGTTAGGACTCCTCGCTTTCACTACCAAGGGCCCGGGTTCGATCCCTGATCAGGGAACGAAGATCCCACAAGCCGCATGGCATGGCATGGGCCCTCTCCAAAAAAAAAGAAAGCAATCATTCTATAAAAATCAATAATAAAGAGACTAGTCATCAGAGCCATTTAAACTTCAAAGGTTTACCCCTTTGAAGTAAACTGGTGTTTTTATGAATAAAATTACCTGAACCATATCACTGAGCAAGTCAACATTCTTAAAAACGGTCAACCAAAATTCAGGAATTCCTTTGGGGTCTTCTTTTTCTTCATCCTTTTTCTCATCTTCAATCTTGGCCTTTTCTTTTAGCTCCTCCTTAATAAAAGACAGCATTCATCATTACTGGATACCCAGATTAGACATCTTGATAAAATTTTTCACATCCCCTTAACTTACATGCAGTGGCAGAGAACCCAACAAACCCTCAATGACTAATTTTAACATTTAGCCAAAGAAGTTCTAGTCTAATTGTGTAAACACTGCTGTTACCCATACCAGACCTTACTTCCATTAATATTTCTACTATCATACCCCTTCCAAAAAGAAAACCACTAGGACCATGAGCTGCAGGAAAAAAATTTCAGCTTCATGGGAGAGAAGAGAAAAAAAAAATAAGACTTAAGCACAGTAAAGAGGAAAAGCAAAAGAAATATAAACCCTGTCCATTGCCTTACCCACTGGTGTTCTTAATCAAAATATATTCTCTTAATCACCAATGGTAAAACATCAATGTTGGAGAAACAGGTCATGTAACAGAGCACTGGATTTGTATCACAGCTCTGCCATCTATAAGTTGTGGACAGGACATTTAGAGACCTCCATTTGCACTTTAAAAATGGGAACAATCCTTTTGTATGTCATCATGAAGTTCAAACGAAAAGTTTATATGAATCTATAAACTTTAAATGCTATAAAAATGCAAGGAAAAGGTGAATTTGGGTACAGGTGGAGCTGGGCTAACAGTGGATCATCTGCACTCACTATCCATCTCACAGTAAAGATAATTATTTCCACGGTATAAAAACACACTAAATTAAAGTTAATACCAACCGAAATTTCATCTTCCTCATCTGGTTTCCATTCACATTCTTCTTCTGTAGGTTCATAAATGGCATTAATGATCTCAAATCGCTAAAATGATTAAAAACAAAAACTTGCATAAAAACACTGGCATCGAAGCTAAAAACTAGATATCCCTCATTAAGAATGCTTAAAGATTTAATTAATTCATACAACTTGAATTGCTATTATTGATAGTTCTCCCAAATTCCTCTAATAACCATTTTGCTGACAGTTCTAACAAAACTTTGTTTATATTTCCAGAGCTTTATTATCTTCTTGAATTTTACATTAAAAAAACAAAGTATTAGAAAGCATTACCTTATCAAATAGAGGTTGATAGAGAACAGCATACTTTCTTTCAAGATCATGAACTTCCTCATAGAACTTGGCTTCTATCTGTGCACATTTAACTTGAAGGTTTTTGAGAGCATTCACGCGTCTTTTAACTACCCTAGGCAAGCTGAAAGGTTAGAAAGCACCAGTTATATAGCATCACAGTAAAACCCAAGTAACACTTCTTTTAGCATACTGAAATCGAAGCATGAAAGTTGGTAACAGGTTTCCTATTTGACGCAAAAGGTACATTCAAAGTAATTAAAATTCAAGAGATATAAATACACAGACCTCTTGACCATAAAACATTTCAAAAGAGGAAATTTAACCAGGTACAGTACATTGATAAGAAAATGTAAATAGTATCACCAGCCCTAAATCTTTCATTGTAATCAAATTCAGCACTGGGCTCGTCAGTGCTGGGCATCTCAGGTGTAAAATGCAGTCTAAAAGTTAAAAAGTCACAGACTGGGCTTCCCTGGTGGCGCAGTGGTTGAGAGTCCGCCTGCCGATACAGGGGACACGGGTTCGTGCCCCGATCCGGGAAGATCCCACATGCCGCGGAGCGGCTGGGCCCGTGAGCCATGGCCGCTGAGCCTGCGCGTCCGGAGCCTGTGCTCCGCAACGGGAGAGGCCACAACAGTGAGAGGCCCGCATACCGCAAAAAAAAAAATAGAAAAATAAAAAAAGTCACGGACTAACCATCCTAACAATAACCTGAATTATTTTTTTTAAATATGTACAATTGAGGGAATTCCCTGGAGGGCCAGATGTTAGAACTCCAAGCTCCCACTACAGGGGGCACAGCTTCAATCCTTGGTCAGAGAACTAAAATCCCACAAGTAGCGCAGCACGGCCAAATTAAATAAATAAATTAATAAAATAAAATATGTACAGCTGACACTTGTAACACAAGTTTGAACTGCATGGGTCCACTTACATGCAGGTATTTTTCAACAGTAAATACTAGAATACTACAGTCTGTGCTTGGCTGAATCCATGGATGGAGGAAACGCAGACACAGGGGGATGACTACTGATTAACTCCTGTGTTATTCAATGGTCAACGGCATATTCACCTGTGTCAATTAGGGGAAAGAAGGGGAGCATATGTGTTTTTGGAAAAAGAATGGTATCCTACACCGTTATTTTCTTTTTAGTCTCAGTATTTAATTTGGAATTTGAAATTACATTAAATAAGTATGTTAACATTTTATGAAGAGGGGAGGTAGATTTTTAAAATAACAGCTTTTCTAAGATATAATTCATACACAATTCACTATAGGGCATAGATTTTTTTTTTAAAGTTATACACACCTAATTTATGAGCCCCTCAAAAAATGATTAAAATTATGAATCCCTCTACCACCCAAAAAATGTTCACACTCAAAAGTTCCATAAGTTCAGGGAATCTGTACAACAGATCCAAAATCCAGGTTAGAATTTCCTGCCATACACAGATTAGTGTAAAGCAAATTAATTCTCTACTTAACCACTTTAGTTAAGGTAATCAGAAGTAAAAACAAACAACAAAAACAAAGACCTAAAATACAAACTCTTTATTTCTTACAATTAAAATTAAAATGTTGTCAAGGTGGTGAAATAGCTTGGTCAGCTAGCCTCCCTGCAACTCCACATCTCAAAAAAAAAAAATCAACCCTGGACACTTTAGAACCATGAAGCAAACAACTATTTCTCACACACTCACACACTCCATCACACCATGAGCAATTTCTGAGTAAGACTGAAGGTTGTCTTTAACTGGTACAGACAGAGTGAGCTGCAACTTGGAAAGCAGGTATGGGGGTAGGTGGGTGGTGGTGACCAGAGTGGGCAGCAGTGAGGACAAGGTGGAAGAAAGCTTTTTGCAGAAAAGCTTTAAAGTTCTACACTTGCCTTCAACACTCACTGCCTGTCCCCTTCACCCTTCACAGAGCCCAGTGACATTGCTCCTAGGATAACATGAAGAGTTGACGAAAGCTGGACTGGCTCAGAGCCCGTAAGCACTCACTCTTCCACCCCCTCCAATCCAGGAACAATGGATTACAACCAAAGGAGACTGGCTCCTCACAAAGCAGCCAAGAAAACTGCCTGTAATTGTCAGCCAAGTCTGAGTCTGAGGTGACTGGAGCTCTCCTTAGGCTTATCCAGTCCCCTTTCTCTTTCGCCATGAGACTGCCACAGACAGAAGTCTAATCTTCATTCCTCCCTCCATACTCATTACTAGAGTAAATGATATCGCCCAGTGCGCTGGAGCTATAAGGCCAAAATAACTAGACACTTGAAGAGTACTATGAAAGAATGAAATATTTAGCATCTGAAGCATTATTAAACAAAGGATTTAAACAAGAATGTAAATACATTTAAAGCGCTGAAGAAAGATACATCTTAACTCTGAAACAAGACCAAGAAAGCTAAAACAAGGTGGGAATATTAAGTATGAAAAATACAGTTAACTAAAATAACCAACAAATAGGACAAACAAGGTATGTTCAACTGAAGAAAAAATCCATGAGGTTTAAAACCTCTTCAGAAAGGCAGCAGGAAAGACAGACAGAAAAGCTCTGAGACATGGAGGCACTGGTGCCAAATGAAACAATAGCTGAAAAAGAGAAGGGAGGTGGATATCTGAGGAAATGAGGGTAATGAATTTCTCAGTTACAGAAACGTGAAAGCCCTTATTCGAACCACTAGACACGTTAATGAGATTGACGACTATCAAAGAAAAAAGAAAATTCTAAAGATATCCAATGAAAAAAGCAAACAACCTACAAAGGAAAAGGAATCAGAGGGATATTGGGTTTCAAAGAGAACACTGTAGACAAGAAAAACCGAAGTGAATTTTTAAGATATTTAAGAACTTTGAACTTAAAATTTTCAGATATGAAGGCAAAATAAAAACTGTATAAGGTATATGAGGCTTTAGGAAGTATGCCACAGATATTATATTCATAAAAAATAATTTTGAAAAATAATTTTGAGGAAGTAAAAAAAAACCCAGGAGATGCTATATAACATATGGGTGAATCAAAAATATCTTGATAAATTTTACTGTTGCCTTGAAAGAAAAAAAAAAAAGAGGTCTAGAGGAAGTATATTATTGGTAAATTTAACAGATCAATAGGGGTAAATAAACTGAGGTATTAGGTTATGATCCATTTTACCATAATAACAAAAAACAAAATGCATTAACTTTGAAACCAGCAGAAGACAACTTGATCTTTTCAATGGAAAACAGAAAAGGAGAAAAAAGTACCATAAATTAGATAATAAGAAAAGAGAAGAGCAATTAACTCCAAAAACAATACCACTTCTAAGAAATGTAAAGAGTTTGAAATTACTAATAAAGAACACGATCATACTAGAGTAAGATACAAGGATGGAAAAAGACACGCCAGATAAATAAAAACCAAAACAAAGCTGGAGCAGCTATCTTAGTATCAGACAAAACAAAATCTATGACACAATCCACAACTGACAGAATTATAGGATGAGAAAGATAAATTAAGAAGATTTTTTTATACATTCATCCCCAAAACTGTTAGATCAAGCAGTCAATCAATATGCAAAAACAAAGAGAATCTGAACAATACAACTAATAGGCCTAAGCTATTGATTTCGGCATATAAATTTTCATACTTATTCACATTAACATTTATAAAAACAGTTTTATGGCCATAAAAGAGACACATTAATTTTTTTTAATTAAATGAACTAAGCAGGCAATTAAGAAACTGGGAAGGGAATAGAGCAAACCCACATAAGGAAATAACATGAAAGCCAGAAAAAAAAAGCAATAACAAAAAAACATGCAAATGGAAAATCAAAACATTAAGATTGAGACAACTGGCAAAACTAATGCAGATACAAAATACAGAATATGAAAGGGGAAAATCAAATTTTTAAAAATATGAATTATACACTAATCAATTTGAAACCTAGATAAAACATACAGTTTTAGAAGAACATAAAACTCCACAACTGGCACAAGAGAAACTGAAGAGGTCAGTTAGTATTTTATAAAAAAAGAAAAAAGAAAAAAAAGAAAGGGTAAATTCCCCAGGACCTCTAGTTGCCAAATCCCAAAGGCCCAAGTCAATTTTTAGAAGAGTTCCACCAACTGTTCAAGGAATTCCTATCTTATACAAGTTGTTCCAGAAAACAAAGAAAAAAGTAAAAGCAATCTTGTTCATTTCTAGGCAGTTGAAATCTTAACTCTAAAACCAGGGATAGAGTGTGTGTGTGTTTGTGTGTGTGTGTGTATACAGGCATACACAAGCTCTTTTCACTAATAAATAAGGACCCTAAATAAAATATTAACTACCCAACTGAGGTTTCCAAAACCATATTTAATATACAATTAGTAGATTTAAAGAAAAAGTCAAAAGACCATCTGAATTGATAAAGAAAAAGAGGTCATAATAAATCACAAATAGCCACATTAATGAAGAGATTACATACTCATTCCTGGTTAAGATAAGAAATAAGACAAGGATGCCCATTTTTAATGCTAATGTTTAACACAGTATTGAAAGTCCTGGCCAGTGTTACAAAGAAAGAAAAATAAACATGCAGTGTGGTGTAATGTGGAAGATTAGAGTTAAAACTGCCACTTGCAGATAAGATCTTTTGGGCTATGTGAGAAATAACAGAACAAATTACTATACAGTAAGAGTAGCAAGGTTTCTGGACACAAGATCAACTTTAAAAAAATAATAATCAGTAGTACTCCTTTATCAAGAACAGCCAACCAGAAGATACAATAAAAAATACTATTCACAACAGCAACACAAATATAGAGGAATTAACCAAGAAGAAAACTGTGTAATAAAAGATACAGAATATGATCTGAATAAAGGATATGGATGAGAAAATTTAATACTAAAAAGGTATTGGAATTCTTAAGAAAATTCTAGTTTTTTGTTTGTTATTTTGAGGGGTTTTGTTTTTGTTTTTTTAAGAGAACACTGATAAACTTACTCTCAACCATACATGGGATAAAGGGCTACAGATGGTAAGATCAACCTTAAAAGTGTGTTCCATGGTGGATGAGGGGTGGTAGAAGAAAGCAACTCACCCTGCCAGATATTAAGACATACTATAAAGCCAGAGTAATTAAGTGGGACAATGACAAAAGAACAGGCAAAAAAACAATGAGGAGTGCTGCTCAGAGACACAGGTGTTTCTAAGAATTTGATATACAATAAAGGTGGTAACACAAATAAATGGGGGAAGCATGAACTGTTTAGTGAAGCATTATAAAAACTAGCTCACCAAAAAAGGAAAGAAAGATGCCTACTGAATATGAAATACAAAGGTGATCTCTAACGGGATTAAAGACCTAAGGGTAAAAGGTAAAACTAGTCAATAGGAAATGTAGAAGGAGTAAGGAAAGACTTACCTTCAAAAGAACAAGCCATAGGTCAAAAAATTTAACGAACATAAAAATTAAGGATTTGTTTAATAGAGGACACCATGGACAAAATTAATAGAAATGACAATAGATTATTTACAAAGTCTAAAACTGATAAGGGATTAAAACCTAGAATACACAAGGACTCCTACAAAACAAGAAAAAGACAGTAAACCAGGGCTTCCCTGGTGGCACAGTGGTTAAGAATCCACCTGCCAAAGCAGGGGACACAGGTTTGAACCCTGGTCCAGGAAGATCCCACATGCTGTGGAGCAACTAAGCCCGTGCGCCACAACTACTGAGCCTGCACTCTAGAGCCCATGAGCCACAAGTACTGAGCACGTGAGCCACAAGTACTGAGCACGAGTGCCACAACTACTGAAGCCCACACGCCTAGAGCCCGTGCTCCACAACAAGAGAAGCCACAACAATGAGAAGCCTATGCACCGCAACAAAGAGTAGCCCCTGCTCACCGCAACTAAAGTAAGCCCACGTGCAGCAACAAAGACCCAATGCAGCCAAAAATAAATTAATTAATTTTTTAAAAAAGACAGTAAACCCCAAAATGTGAATGGGCAAAAGGGTACAAAATGAGCAACCTAAAAGGCTCACTTGCAATCATTATGAAAGGAAGCTCAACTCATTAGAAATCAGAAAATACAAGGAAAACAAAATGAGCCTGCACCTCTTAGATTGGTAAAAACAGAAAAACTATAAAGCTGAATGATGTCACTTGTTGGCAAGGACACAAGGGTAAAGCGACCTTCACATACTGGATACAGGCCTTGCAGAAAGCACCTGGAAGTACTGAAGGTCTGCATATCCCATAATTAACAATTCCACTGATAAGTACATATCCCAAAGAAATTCCTACACAGCTCCTCAAGAGGACATACACAAGCGTGAACAACGTCACAACTGAATTCGTGTTGATGAAGCTTGGAGACAAACTGGATGACCATCAAGGAAAAAGCATATAATAAAGTATGGTGGACACACATCACAGAGAACCAGGAAACATTTAGAAGCTAGAAACTAATGACGAGAGATACATATAGACAGCAATGTGGACAGATCTTAGAATTATAAAGCTATGTAAAAAATTTTAAGCAGAATTAAGATATTTGGGCTAGTATTAGTGATTTATATCACCAATGAAATAAATAAGAAATCTGTATTTCTTTTAATTCTGTGCATTTCTAACAAATCTCAGAAATGATTTAAGATTACTATACTTCCTACATAGATGAACCAAAATAAACTTTAAAAGACCAACTCTAAATCTGTACTCAGCAAAATTTTAAACTCCCAATAATCCTACACTTGATACTAATGAACACCTTTCCACTGTGACATACATAAGTCCCAGATGGCCTTAAAAATATACACCTGCAACGTTGATTATAGAAAGATAAATAAGGACTATGAAAAAGAAGAACTTGTACCTTTCAATGTATCCTGTTGGTGTTTCTACCAGACCATCAAGTCTTTCTTGAAGGGCTGCAAGAATCTGAGGATTTTGCATCATCTGAACAGTCAGCTGACGCGCTTTAAAAAAAAAAAAGGGCATTGAAAGAAGGATTTTATGAAAATGTATCATGGTATTTGAATAGGACAATCCAATCATGAAACTTTCCTGACTAGCTCATAAATCGCTGGTATGAGTAGAGACGAGCAGCAAGCTAAAGAAAATTCACTCTAGGAAAACCCAGTGTACAGGAAAAGTTCAGATTCTAATGATGTCTAACGTACACCATTTCTCAAGGCCACTGCCACAACTACTATGAACATTATCCTTTCTTTTCCTACTACCTTGTTTTACCCACCTTGTGTTTTGGGAAGCTCAAAGATTCATCCAGATGCCTATCTATGATCCTTGATAACCCTCTGAAGTCAAACAACACATACAAGAAAATTGCAAATACAGTGACAGTTTCAAGCCTGGGACAAAGATGGTCAAATGAATCTGAACGTTTCATTGATGCTTGTTGTATAATGTGCTTGTGGGTATCTGAACAGAGAAAGTTAACAACTGAGATAGTCAAAAGTTGTAACTAAAGCCGAACAAAATTTGGTTATTAATGGCATCTAAAAATTATATTAAATCCAAAAATAACCTAGATTTATGCAAAACAAATTATTTTGCTATCTTATTTTCTCCATCAATACAGACTTCACCAAAAAATTACCATTAATTTTCCCAATTTGTTTTTAAACATCAATTTACTTCTAATACTGATTTTATTATTGGATGATGTACAGCTGTGATAACCAACATGCTTTCAGAAATAACAGTACTGGCCACTAAAGATACAGTTCTGTATCTTTTAAAAAAACTCTGCACAATGAAAGCTGAAGCTAGAAGTTCAGCAGTCTTTTCAGAATAAACCTCATTCTGGCTTAAAAATGAGAAGTTGAGGGGCTTCCCTGGTGGCGCAGTGGTTGGGGGTCCGCCTGCCGATGCAGGAGACACGGGTTCGCGCCCCAGTCTGGGAGGATCCCACATGCCACGGAGCAGCTGGGCCCGAGAGCCATGGCCGCTGAGCCTGCGCTCCGCAACGGGAGAGGCCACAGCAGTGAGAGGCCCGAGTACCGCCAAAAAAAAAAAAACGCAACGGGAGAGGCCACAGCAGTGAGAGGCCCGAGTACCGCCAAAAAAAAAAAAAGAGAAGTTGAGTCATCTGGTACGTTGATATTCTTGGCTCCTAAGCTACAGGGCATATCCTAAATCAGTATAATTCCCCACTACCATTATTACCCCCTTTAAAAATAATTTGCTAAAGAAAATTTTGAATGACTTTGTCTACATTTAATAAATGTCTCTTTTTGATCGATTGGAATGGATTAAAAAACACAGACATACACACTACGTATTTTCTATATATTAAATACTAAACATTTTCAAATAAGTCTAAGCTAGCGTTATTTAGAAGCACCACTAGAAACAACTCGACCACCACCTATAACGTACCTAAATTGAGACAAATCTCACAGGCAACTGTTTGACAAGCTATGACATCACTCCAGCAGTAGAGCGTACACACAGCGATGTCTGCTGGGTCACTACATCCATTCCCTCCTCCCTTACTACCACTCCTCTCCATCTCCAGCTCCCTCTGCCCCTCCCTTCCTCCCTCACCCTCCCCATCCCAAACATACATTTACACACAAAACTGTTACTGCAGGTTTGGCTAGTCAGTAAAGTGGACAAGTATACAAAAAGAGAATGATATTTACTACTACCCTCCAGAAGACATGCGCCAGCAATCACTGGCTCCTGAAGGAATTTAAAATAATACCTTTGATTTTTGTTTCTTCACCAGTTTCTTCTTCTTCTACTTCTTCAACATCATCCAAGTCTTGATCAAGTTCAGACTGTTCTTTGCTATAATATTATAGTATCACACCAAGGTTCAAATGTACCAATTACCAAAAAAAAAAAAAAAAAAAAATTATAGAAAACTTCAGTTCATTTTCTAGGTGAATATTCCTCTTTCAAAAATATGAAGTAGGAAATCCAAAGGGTGATTCAGTTTTCTAACTTCATATGTAAACAAGGACAAATTGGAAATACTTAAAATTTCATTTAAAAGCATATGGTCTAATATAAAGTTTATACTTTAAGCTTTAAAAATGTGGTTTGACAGGTTGTGATTCAGAGGATGTAATGTCAGAAAGTATGTGCTTTCTACCCAAATCCATTGGTTTCATTCTTCCTAGTACCAGCACTCTGATTTTATATGAGATGGTAATAAACCAAGCTAAAAAGTCCATATATCCCAGCCTACCTTTCAGCTAGATGTGGCTATATAACCATATTTTGGCAGTAAGGTAAGAAAAGAGGAATGTAGAATTTTATATATATATATAAAGCCTCCTTAATAGAATGGTAAACAGCTGGAAGCCTTTTCAATATTGCTCCCTCCCTAGAACAGGGATATGATGGCTAGACCTCCAGCAGCCATGTTGGACCATGAGGCATCCTAGAGAACGGAACTCACCAGCTAGGATTAAGGAGTCTGGAAAAACAGAAGGATCCTGGATCCCTGGTGGCTGTGGAACAACCACATCAGCCTGTACTTACTATCTTTGGACCTTCCTTTTTCTTCACTTCATAGGGGAGATGGGGAAGAACAGAAAAAGTTAAGAAGACCTGAGTCTACTTCATGCTTAGAGTAAAGCCAGGAGGATGTACCATTGAAAGAGAAGGTAAAAAGTAATAACATTCTTCCCATTTCATCTTAAAAATCTAGTTTTTGAACATGAAATTACAATCAGCATTAAAATGGGGAATTAGGATATCTAACTCAACATACAGATCATCATACAATTCCTTGTGTTATTTTACATTTTAGTACAGTATTTGGTTTAGAAAATTAGTTGCTTTCATGTCTAGAAATAGCATTTGAAAAATTAATTTTCATATAGGAACTAAAGAAAAGGTCAACTGTATTCTGCTAAAAAAATCTGTTTCTGTCAACAAAGGGAAAAAAAAACAGCCTTCCCATCAGAAACAATACAGATTATTTTGGGAATATCTTTTATTCACTATAAAGTTAAGCATAAAGACAACATGGAACAGCTCTTCCTCCAGTGCCATCTCATTCAATCATTTATTGAACATCTAAAACTTAAAGCTTTAAAACAGAAGTCCACAAACTGTGTCATATGGCCAAATCCAGCCCAGTCCTATTTTTGTAAATAAAGTTTTATTGGAACAAAGCCACATTAATTTATGTATTGTCTCTGGCTTCTTTCACACTACAACGGCAGAGCTGAATAGCTGCAACAGAAACCTCATGGCCCAAAATGTCTAAAATACTTACGATCAGGTCCTTTAAAGAAAAAGTCTGCGGACTCCTGCTTTAAAGAACAAGGATCTTCCTCTTCCTCCTAACCTCCTAAGAGCTCACAGGCATCCAACAGTAAATAATGGGGTGGGACGCTTAGGGCAGAATCAAGCTACCACAACCAATTTACTCTTTCTTCAAAGTTTAAGACAAAATGAAGGTTAGATGAGACTGCACATACTCATCTGATCTTAATCCTTCCAAAATCTCCACTAAAATTATGACAAAGGGGTTTTCAAACAAATACTGAAGGACAAGGAGACAAAAAGCAGCAAATTCACCGAGAACTGAAATCTAAGTCAGCAGTGGTAGAGCTGAGAACCAGCCTAAACACAGAATCTTAAAAAGGACACTTCTAGAACTAGGGCTTGGGGGTGAAGGTGGATAAAATAGGGAAATCTAAGCAAAAATTAATAAACAGTTAAATCCTTAGATCTTCTTTCTCACTCTACCAGAACAGTTTCTTCTCTGGAAAGGGAACTGGAAGCTCAGACTAGAGGATCACAGATATATACACACTATTGATAGAATGCTGAATGCAGAGACCCCTCCCCAGCTGCCTTCTCCCAAGTTAGTTCCCAAATGTATGGAAGCCATATCTTCACCCAAACTCTTTACTGGGGTATGTGACCAGCCCAGAAAAAAATGCCATTCTGACAGTGGGGAGTCTCACAACAAATGTCTGCTCTGGTGAGCTCACATTAAAATCCTCAATTGAAAGCACTCCCCCCCCAACAGTCAAATTCGCCAATTAACTTTTAAAAAACATCCTTCAACTATGCATTTCCCCCACCCAGTCTTAACGAGCAAACAAGTATTACCTCCTATTTGAGGAAAGCCTCCTATGTGGAGACCAAAACAGGAAAGAAAAATTTAAGACCAAACAGACTATACAGGGGAAAGAACATCCAGAGAAAAGGTATTACAATCAGTAAAGTAAGAACAAGATGCTATAAAAATAGGAACAGAGAGCAAAGTAACGCTTGAAAACTAAAACAACAGAAATTTAGAAACTCAATACAAGAGTTAAAAGATAAAGTTTCTTCAGCTTTGCCCAGAAAGAGAAGCAAAGAGACAAAGATGGAAACTAGGACAAAAGGTAATCACAAGAACCAGTCCAACATATAACAGAAGCTCCAGAAATAGAAAATGGGAACAAGAAAATCAACAAAATAAGTCAGGAATATTCCCTAGAACTGACAGCTATCAAGTTGCCAGACTGAGAGTCCACCACTGAATGCCTAACAAGAGATTAAAAAAAAAAAAAAAAAAAAAAAAAA